TACGGAATAAAGGAAAGGAAAGGTCAATAAAGAAAAACGGCTCAGAGACACACAATTTGTGGCGGCGTCCCGCCTCCCTCCCTCCCTCCCTAATGAGTGGTGTGCGTTGATTTTGGGGTCTGTTCCCTGTCTGTATATATGGCCTTTCCCCCCCACCGCCCCCTCCCACCGCCGTGATTTCTAACCCTTTGCCGCGAGTCGATTCGACTTTCGGTTTCGTTTTTCGTTTTTCTAATTTGTACTTCACCCGGGTTTTTGGGTTTTTTTGGGGGAAAAATTGGTTTAAAAATGTGGGGGGGAAAAGTGTGAAGCTGTCGAGAGAATGATGACGACGACGATAAATAATAAACTTTTTCTTTTAAAGGGAGGCCGTCGTTTTGATCTCTTGCTGTCGAGAAATCGGAGGGAGGGGGGTTCTCTGGAAGTCGAGCCCAGAAAAGGGATGAAAAAATGAACGAAAAATTAAAAACAAATGGCTTTTTTTGGAGGAAAATAATGTAAAGGGCCACGGGGACTTCAGGCTGGGTGGGCTTCAGGGCCTAGAAATCCCCAGGGACCGTGGAATTCTGGGAATTGAAGTCCATCGCTCTTAAAGCAGGCCTGCTGGGGGATTCTGGGAGTGGAAGTCCCCCCCTGTTAAAGTATGCCGGCTAGGGGATTCTGGAAGTGGAAGTCCTCCCCTCTTAAAGCAAGCTGGCTGGGGGACTCTGGGAGTGGAAGTCCCCCCTTAAACCATGCTGGCTGGGGGATTCTGGGAGTGGAAGTCCTCCCCTCTTATAGCATGCCGGCTGGGGGATTCTGGGAGTCGAAGTCTTCCCCTCTTAAAGCAGGCTGGCTGGGGGATTCTGGGAGTTAAAGTCCTCCCCTCTTAAAGCATGACTGACTGGGGGATTCTGGGAGTTGAAGTCCAGCCCTCTTAAAGCCTGTCGGCTGGGGGATTCTGGGAGTGGAAGTCCTCCCCTCTTAAAGCAACCTGGCTGGGGGATTCTGGGAGCTGAATTCCTCCTCTTAAAGCATGCCAGCTGGGGGATTCTGGGAGTTGAAGTCCTCCCCCTCTTAAAGCATGCCGGCTGGGGGATTCTGGGAGTTGACGTCCATCCCTCTTAAAGCATGCCAGCTGGGGGATTCTGGGAGTTGAAGTCCTCCCCTCTTAAAGGATGGCTGGCTGGGGGATTCTGGGAGTGGAAGTCCATCCCTCTTAAAGCATGCCTGGTTAGCAAAATCACCTGACTGTGGGGGCCCGGACTGTCGGAACTTTGAATCTGGGTTGTAGCCCAGGTAGGTCCGTCATAACTTGGAACGGTTGCCAAGGAATCGGTCATAAATCGAGGATTCTGGATACTGTTTCGGCCTTGACTTGAAGAGAAGCGAAATATATGCCACCGGCTCCCCCTTCTGGCTACTTATGGAACAGCATGAAGAGAACGACCGATTTGGTGAGATGGTTTTTGCTGGCGACTGCTCTAAATTGTCGACATTTCAGCTCCTACAAACTCCGTCTTAAGCACCATGGGAGCGGATGTCCCCAGAACACGAGGCTCTCGGATGGGGGAGAAGCCACCTGCTTTGTCATTGGACCCTTGGCCAATTCAAATTGGCCAACCTTTGTGGATCGGTTCGCTAGTCTCTCGTGCTACGGAATGGCCCTATTGTTCCAGTTCTGTGGTTAGCCGTCTTTGTCAACCTTGGTCACTGAATGGGATGGAATGGAATAATAAAATATAGAATGGAATAATAGAACAGAAAATAGAATAGAATGGAATAGAATAGAATGGAATAGAATGGAATAATAGAATAGGATAGGATAGGATAGGATAGGACAGGATAGAATGGAATATAGAATGGAATGGAATAATAAAATATAGAATGGAATAATAGAACAGAAAATAGAATAGAATGGAATAATAGAATAGGATAGGATAGGATACGATAGGACAGGATAGAATGGAATATAGAATGGAATGGAATAATAAAATATAGAATGGAATAATAGAACAGAAAATAGAATAGAATGGAATAGAATATAGGAATAGAATAGAATGGAATAATAGGATAGGATAGAATGGAATAAGGAATAGAATAGAGTCTCAGCATCTTTTTGTACATCGTGGTGACCAAAACTGGATGCTGTATTCCAAGTGTGGCCTTACCAAGGCATTGTAAAGTGGTAGTAACACTTCACATGATCTTGATTCCATCCCTCTGTTAATGCAGCCCAGCACTGTGTTGGCCTTTTTGGCAGCTGCAGCACACAGCTGGCTCATATTTAAATGATTTTCCACTAGGACTCCGAGGCCCCTCTCACAGTTGCTACTATTGAGCAAGGTACCACCTATATACTATATCTGTGCATTTGGTTTTTCTTGCCTAAATGTAGAACCTGACTTTTTTCACCCTTGAATTTCATTTTGCTAGATAGCGCCCAGTGTTCGAGTCTGCCCAGATCCTCCTGTATCCTAAGCCTGTAACTTCTGGAGTGTTGGCTATTCCTGCCAGCTTGGTGTCGTCTGCAGATTTGATGAGTTCCCCATCTATCCCCTCGTCCAGATCGTTGATGAAGATGTTGAAGAGCCTAAAATCTTTAGTACAAATCTGGAGTTACAACATCAAATATTTCCTCTCTTTTCCCCCCTAACATTTACTGTTCTCGTATTTAAGCTAATGGAGTTCTTATTCTATCAACTCAGTAAAAACATGCTTATTGCATTTATGAATACATTTTAGCTTCCACGTATCTCAATTATTTTTCACAGTCCATCTTCGTAAATGATCCATTATCCTGTTATTAATTTTTCCCCCAATTTTTGGTTTCTCATCACTATTCCAATTTCATCTTTGATATTTATGATTTTCAGGCTTTAGGCAACCAAGATTTCCCTTATCTCAATTCATAACAGAATCTAATATCCAAAATACGCATTTTATCCATTTGAATATAGTTCTATTTCCTAAAAGTTCTCTTTTTTTCCAATATAAAATTTTATTGTTTTCATCATAAAAAAAAAGAAATACATCACAGATATTACACAATGTTATATCCCATCCCCCCGCCCCCCGGACTTCCCAAACCAAACCTAGGCTAATATTCAAATACAAGTAAACAAATATTAATATCTCTAACTCCAAACTCTAAACTTAAACAATCCATCTCCTCCGTAT